AAACACACAGACGGCCTTAGCGCGTTATCATAGTAGGATATCACAGAATGATGTAAACTTCGTTACATGTAAAGGAAACCACGCTTTTATCCTAACACCTGCTACGAAAAGTCTCCCAGCTATCTTCGCTTGCCACCACTTGTGCATTCTAAATGAACAAAATCTGTAGATTTTGGAGCATATTGCCAGTCGCTATTTACTTCACCGCGGATTTAACCAGATTATCAGCTTGGCCCATGGTGTCCATCAGATTTGCAAAATCCAAAAACAGCACAGAATCTTTCCGTCATTCTTGTTACTACAAAAGTTGTGCAGTAGTGTACTGGAGAAAAACTGACAAGATATACATTTATCCTTGGAAAACAGCGAATTTCGGAGTATGCACCAGTTACTTATACAAGTGCAGTTGGCAGTGAGCACTCTATTGCTGAATGCAGGGGAAGTCAGAATGGCGAACATAATGCCACAATAACTTGCATTTTCACTTTTGCAGGAATGACTAGAAAACTTTTGCGTAATGTCCCCAACTCAAAGGACCCCAACGCTGGTACGTTGAATTTGGCTCAATGCACTGCTAACAATGCAAATTTTAGGTCGGAGTAGCGCAGGAACACTCAGCGATTATTCGTCATTCGAAGAAGCTGAGTTAATTCCGTCAAAATCAAAGAAAAAGAAACTGAAGAAGAAGCAAAGAGGTAAGCATATATCTATTCTGAAGAAAAGAACGTTCAGAAACCTACGAAAAGACATTCTAATAAATTTCTTTTTCTTAGGAGAATACGTCGCATTAACCGAACTTGATGAAACTTTTAGCTTAGAGCGCGAAGATCTACACACTGCTTTAGAATGTGGTGAGTGCATTGACTAGCTCTTTCTCACTCGCCACAGTTGTCACGGATTGGGCCCAATCTCTCCAAGTCAGTGGACACAGATCACCTACTTGGCGCACGGGAGCTAGGGGTCCACTTTTAACGTTACTAGGGATGGTACAGGCAATGTCAATAGCCTACTCCCTTTTCTGCAG